GAACATTGGTTTTACACTTACCGTTTCATTGCGATGATTACTATTTCCTCCGTGCATTATCATTCAACAGTATTTGCTTCAGTTCCCTCCCTCTGTTTTGTTTTGTTTTTTGTTGTTTTTGGGGGGTGGGGGGTGGATGGGGTGGATGTACACAAAAACACTTGGGAATCTATAATCATTTAATCATTCTGCAAGCCTGCTTCCTGGCTGCCAGCACTCAGTCTTTCTCTTTCCATGAGTCTAGAGTCCTCAGCTGCTCCCTCACTCCATGTCATCATCTCTACCTCCATCTCTGATGTCACTGCTTTTCCATGCTTGTGCTCTTCTCCCTTTGATGGTCCTAAGGTCCTCTGTACCTGTGATGTAAGATTAACTATTCCCCCCTTTTTGTTACAAAACTTCTACCTTTATAGTTGTGACAGTCGCAATTAGTCATGGTAACAATTACTCACTATACAATCATAAGAATCTTATCCCCATCTCCTTACACCAGACTCATCTGGACAAGATGAAAACTATTCTGTGGGGACTTTACTTTCCCCTGCACACTCTTAAACTAAAGTCCCTCTAAAAAACTTGTAAGCCAGTCACTTCATGCCTTTATAGCCCCCTCATTTTAGGTAGCCAATGTCTAAAGTGCCCGTTTCTATCTACCCTGTATACAGAGGGATAGGATTGATCCTTGATGTGAGGACTCCTTCCGTCTCAGTTGGTATTTTGAGCTACTACATCCATAAGTATAGGTCAAGTTCATCAAATTGTAGCAATTTACACTTGTTTCCTTTATTAAAAAAAAAAAAAAATTTTTTTTTATATCTTCCTCTAGTCAAGTTCTGATCATCAAGCCATTGAGGCTAGGTCAAATGGGTACTGTATGCAAGTTTGGGCATTCTTGTGCTTCTTCCCTTACTTTATATCAGCTGGATACTTCACTCTCAGCTCTAGACCTCCCTGACTATGTCCTTTCCATGGGCTTAGGAATCCCTAGGTCTCACCACACTTAACACCAACCAGCCCGTCCTCTTCTGTCTCTCATCTCCTGGTTAACAGGAGTCAATGGACCATGGTTGAACTCAGCCCATATTTTCATTACTGCCTTTTCCCCTATGCCACTTACCAGTAGACCAACATGGTCTCCAGCAAGCTTACATGCCTGCTCATGTGTTCCTTTTGAGTTTCAGTCTTGGAGTGAGGTTTGTCTTAAAGGACTAGATTGCTTGCCATGTTGACTCTCTGGTGAACAACTTGCTTATTCTTGTAGTAGCCAATCAGACTGCCATATTTGTTTTGGATTTTTCCTGCTGGTCTTTGTTTCAAGAAGTGTCTTCTGTTTCTCTAGCTGCTCCAAACTGGTTTGCTTGTCCTTTTAAGTGGAAATGTCCTACCTCAGAAGGTTTTGGGTGGGGCTCAGGATTCCATTTAAGGTCCTATACACTACAAAGGCTCTGCAGGAAGCTTATTTCACTGGGCAAGTTCTAGAACTCCTTTTAGGTATTCCAATCAGTTATAGGTTGAAGACAGGCTTACAAGCTTTCTGTAATCATGTTTCCTGATACTTCTTTCTATCCCACTCAAGTGTCTATTTTACAATAGTAGGCAAGAGAAACCAACATTCATAAGATAGTCAAGCATCCTAACATTATTTCCTCTCTTTTACCCATTCACACTATGCCTCAATCTCTGTGTCACAGAGCCCTGTTGTTCCAAGCTTGAGCATGCATCACTATTTACCTCTGCCCATTTAGCCCTTGCAAACCTGCTCATTGTTCCCCTATCTACCTTATTCTTCCATTCCCCTTCCTCTTCTTGTGTATTGCCCTCCCCAACACCCTAACTATGATGTGTCTATCCCCTACCCTGTGCTCTACTGTCCATATCCTCCCTACCCTGTAACCAACAAGGATTTTTTT